TCTCCGCATTGAGCTACTATATTTCTCTAATATTTTGAATGAATAACGCAGCAACTGCGCGTATCGTGGGCTAGACTTAACAAAACATTAAACTACAACGTCACTTACATCACCGCATCTCGTGCTCCACTGATGACGCTCACTGACGCACACCTAACATTCATTGTAATATTTTTGCCTTCAAATGCAAATGTTTATTTTAAATTAGACCAATATACATTTTTTTTTATTCACAATCTCCTCATCACAGGCAGGCACAGCACTCATGTTCCTGTTTGTGTGTGCTGTCTGCGTCACTCATAGCACGTGCCTATATCGTGCACTATATCGAACATCTTTTATATCGTTATCGAAGGTATACCGTCGATAAATATCGATACAGTTTTATTGCCCAGGCCTACTTTGAAGTCTAAATTTGGCATTAGATGATTTAACATTGACACATTACTGCCTAGTCATATTTATTCATGCGTGTCCATAAGTGATGAGCTCTTTAATTTCCTAGACTCTTTAATTTTCAAAAATTTCTTACACCATGTCTCTCACTAAGCATACCCACTGAGTGGACATGGAAGATGCATTTACTTTTTGCATCTAGAACAAAACTCAACAGACAATCAGCAGTCTCAACTCAATAGACAGACACATCTCAAATTCAGTCAACAACTGGTCCTTTTTCTACTTCCTCTATTACCTCTATTTCTACTTACTATTCCTCTGTAATCCATTACACTTGTATGTGTGCCACAATACAGTAGAAATTATGTCACTACCTTAGTTTCATCGCGACTCTGTGTTGCCAAATCCACTGAGAACACCATTTTGGCAGAAAGGGACCCCCGGAACAAGATTTTGACAGGCGATTTTTGATCACAAATGGATGGGAAACCCATGGAAAAAAACGATTATCAATTGAGCTGGTCTTGTTTTGCCGATGTGCCAACCTTGCCTTGATTTTAAAGGACTGTTTCTGAATGTTCCTCCAGGTGGCTCCTACCTCCTCTAAACAGCACGGTGTGAATGTCGGTGTCAATGCGTCTGCAACACCCTTCCAGCAAGCTAGCGGTTATGGATCACATGGATACAGCACTGGTAATGCATTTTCTTATGTTCATGCAGCATTTAAAATGCAGTAAAAGCGGTCAGATGCATAGTAGGTCTCGTAGCCATCTTGTTCCACAAGGCTGAGTTTTAAAGCCATGTAAAACTAAACTAGCTCAGTCACTTCTAAACCCTGCATTGACCAAGTCTGTTCTTTTTCTTGTCTGTGAAGTTGAAGCATGAGACAATGCATCTTGCAGTAAAGGTATAATCCCGGGGTACTCAACAGGCGGCCTGTCTGCATTCATTTTGTGGACCACGTCATGCTGAAGATGAATGTATTTTTATTACAATTTGCACTCAATATTAGTTTGATTTTTTAATTAAATGTATACAATCGCAGTAGTAAAAGCTTCAACTAACATGCAATTAAAAAGCAACACGCCCCAAACAATTTAAACAGAGTGTCCGCGGGGTCTTAAAAAGTATTCAAAGTTGATAAATCAATTTAGAGAAAATTAAGGCACTTAAAAAGTATTAAAAAGTCTTAAATGCCATTTTCCAAGGTATTAAATTTTGTATCATCTTTTCATTATGTATATTTGTCCGAATAGTGGGGTTCTGCGTTTTATTTATGGAATCCCACAAAATTTGACTTCATCTGTTACGGCGCTCACTGACTGACTGCGCCGCTGCGTGATAGCGCGGGACTTGTTGATCCCGCTC